TAGAAAGTCTTTTACTAACTTTGTATCTACCAGTGGCCGCTGAGGCCAGATGGGTATATACAAGAGGAACAAAACTTTATGTTCAAAGTAAACAGTTGCTACAGATGTCCTAGGTTACAGCCACCTTAGCCCTTGTCTTTTGATAATTAGATTAGTTGAATCTAATCATCTCTCCTTCCTGCATTTCTTTCCCCCATCATGTCAACAAGGAACTGTACAATACTCCCTTCCTTAGCTGCTTCTTCCTTGAGGACACAATTTACCATTTCTTCTTATCTCAAAGGGGGATGAGTCCTGATGGAATTATCTAAGTATTTGAATTAGCATCTAAAACACATTAATAATCTTCTCAGTTTAGTTCCATTCAGTCCTTCCTTATCTCCCAAAATAACAGTCCTAAAATTAGCCAGGTGTAGGAGTCCCAAACCTGATGATTAGTAATTTTCCCCAGAAACATCAGATGAAAAATATATCCCATTAGATAGAGCTGGATAATGTAACAGGCAGGCCATGTTATACATTTTTATGTAAGTGTGGTAGAAGTGGTAAAAATGAAGGGTTACAATTTCTAACCCCAATCCTGAGCTTTAAAACTCAGAGATACAGTGAAAAGTAATATTTAGTGCACATCCAGAATTTTACTGTTTTTAGGTTTAATACTTTTCCACATAGGATTGTCTGAAAGCAAAGGATTGTGCTGGCTTTTTAATGCAGTGAAATACAAAATAGTGAACATTCTTGATACAATCATGACCTCTCTTTGCTGTAATCTTCAGGAAACTATAGGTCTCTCTGTTGCTGAAATGACATTCTCTTCACCACAAAACTGTCTCAACTATTTGAGCCCATATTAACATCTCCCTGGCATAACCGCACAGTTGAAGTCAACATTCTACCCATGGGCATATGATTATGCAAGATCTCATGCTGGTGTCTAACTGTTTTACCTTGTTAAACTCTAACTCTCTCAAAAGCAAGATGACCATACTTTTTCTTCTTCTAGCACTTGCTACTCTGTAATGCTACACAAGCCTAAAGAAAACTTCTTCAAGAAGCCAAGTGTTAAATATACAGTTGACCTTTGAACAAGGCAGGGGTTAGAGGTGCTGACCCCCTGCATAGTTGAAAATCCACATATAACTTTTGACTCCTCAAAAACTTAACTACTAATAGCCTACTCTTGTTGACCAGAAGCGTCACTGAAAACAAAGTGGATTATCACAAATTTTGCATGTTATATGTATGATATACTGTATTATAGTAAAGTAAGCCAGAGAAAAGAAAATGTTTTTAGAAAATCATAAGAAAAAGAAAATTGTTTACAAAACCATACTGTATTTATTAAAAAAAAAAAACAAAAACTCCACATCTAAGTGAACCCACACTGTTCAAACCCATGTTGTTCAAGATTGAATGTTTTCTTTTTTTGTTGTTGTTTAAAAGATTTATTTATTTATTTTGGAGAGAGAGAGAGAGAGAGAGAGAGAGAGCGTACAACTGGGAGGGGCAGGGGGAGAGGAAGAGAGAATCTCAAGAAGACCCCAGGCTGAGTGCAGAACACAACTCGGGGCTCGATCTCATGACTCTGAGATCACCACCCTGAGATCATGACCTGAGCCGAAACCAAGAGTCAGACACGTAACCGACTGTGCCACCCAGGTGCCCCAAATGTGTTTTATATCTAAGGCTCTTTCTGAAGTGTTGTTTCAGGACTAAACAACCTAGTGAATCCTAGTGTTGACAAGCAGAATGACCCAAGGTTTGAAAAACCTAAGCAGAAACATCATCACATTAAAAAAAGAAAGAAAGAAAGAAGTGGGACGCCTGGGTGGCTCAGTGGGTTACGCCACTGCCTTCAGCTCAGGTCATGATCCCAGGGTCCTGGGATCAAGTCCTGTATCAGGCTCCTTGCTTGGCAGGGAGCCTGCTTCTCTCTCCACGTCTGCCTGCCATTCTGCCTGCTTGTGTGCGCTCTCTCTCTCTCTCTCTCTAACAAATAAATAAATAAAATAAATAAAAAAGAAAGAGGAGAGGGTGCCTGGGTGGCGTAGTCAGTTAAGCATCTGACTCTTGGATTTGGATCCGGGCATGACCTCATGCCCCTTGATGTGCTGTGCACTTAGCGTGGAGTCTGCTTGAGATTTTCTCTCCCTCTGCCCCTCCTGCTTTTTTGCTCACATGCTCTCTTTCTCAAATAAATAAATCTTTAAAAAAGGGGGGGGGGGAATTAGATACTCATCTGGAAAATAGTTTCCCTCTATAATAAGGGCTTGCCACTAGCCACCTTCCCTCTCAATCACACACACAAAGTAAAGGGTATAATGCCTGGATAATTCATGCACAATTTGCAGGAGCTAAATTATCTATTCTTTGTCCAAGTCTTTCCCTTTTCAATATATAAAGAAAAATATATAAGAAGGAAGGGAGATAATATTTTGAAGTCTACCACCTAACATCACTAGCAGTTTTACATGTGCTATATCATATTCTATTATCCACATTTTGCCAATGAGACAATTGAGGCTCGGTGAGTTTGAATAACTTACCTAAGGCCATGGTCTTATTTTCTTCCCCCAACTACACTCAGCTAGAGTTTGTCCCGCAGTTCAGTCACTCATTGAGAAAATATTTATTGAGCACTTATTACAAGCTAGTCACCACTTTAAACATTAGGAACAGAAATGCGAGTGAAGCAGACCAATCCTCCTCACAGAATTTACCTTCCAGGGATGAAAGACAGAAAACAACCCAACAGAATAATTTTAGAGTTGTAATAGTTTGCCAATATGATTTACTTACAGCGACAGTCAAATCTTTTTAAATAGCTTTAATGAGATTAGTTACATGAACTAAAGGAGGAGGGGGTAAAACCCACTACAACTGGTAACTGTAGCCCTGTTGTCAATTACTGAGCCCTCAATACATCTTTTAATAAATCAGAGAGAAGGGGGAACCTTGGTGGCTCAGTGGATTAAGCATCGGACTCTTGATTCCGGCTAAGGTCATGATCTCAGGGCTGTGAGACTGAGCCCTGTGTCTGGCTAGGCACTAGGCATAGGTTTGCTTAAGATTTCTTTCCCTCTCCCTCTACCCCTCCCCCAAAAGGGGGGAAAAAGTAGCACTTTAATGCTGCTCAGAATTTCTTTACTAAGTGACCATGTGAGAAATCAGGACAGCTCCACCTATGTTGTCTGTCAAACCTAAAATTCCATATTTTATCCACTTTTTACCAAGGTAATGCTTTATTTGAAAAGCTGATTTTTAAAAATCAAGGGAGCATTGTAACTTGACATATGTCCTTAAGAGGATCACAGAGTGGTTTCAATATCCACATCATAAAGTTCCCCAGGTTGCGTATAGTATCCATTGGGCAATGGCACCCAGCTCTCACTGGACAGCCTGCAAGATCACAGTAGCTGGGAGCAGTCAGGAAGTGCCTGGCCCCAGTGTGGCCATTCCCATTATCCTCCATGGTCCAAAAATAAACTTCACAAACTCTTAAACTTGAAACATATGCAAAATTCTAACAGTTTTGTTTAAAGCAACAAACGGTGTAACTTACCCTTCCTTCCCTCAACTATTTATACAAGACTATTTATAAGTCGACTAAATTAACTGTTAGCTAGCTATTTCTATAACTGCCTCCCATGATACGTATAATGTGATGTGCAGTGTGGGTTGGCCCATGTCACTACGACTGAGAATTTGTGTTTGTAAATTACTTGGAAACTCTTAAGGAAGGCGGTTGGGGAGTGAATCCTCCTGCGCATAAGGTGGAAGGCTGTCTAGAAACTAAGTGGTAAGAGCAACACTTCATTCACAGGGCTACACCTTTCTGCCAAAGCACTCTGCAAATCTATTTTTGCTCAGAGACGCTACTACATGGAGAGAGGAGGCTGCTTTAAGTACATCGGTGTACACTTTCCATTTCCTCCTATAACTGTCACACTCCAGCACCCAAGGTTCTCAAAAGAGAGCCTCAGCACCGTTCTAGAATCTTTCCCTCCCTTGCTTCAGAAGGGAGCAACAGTCCTTCTCATCAGAGAAGCGACACCCACAAGCCAAAAGTTTGTAGGAAACTTTCAATTAGCTACCGACGCTTGCCCAAAATGTATCTTAACCCCACCGCCCTCCAAAATGTAAAGAGCTAAACTCTGCCTGAGAAGGAGGCCACCTTCTGTTGGGAGAAATTCTCAATCTTCTCCCAAGAACCCCGCCACCACCCCACCCTACACCGGGGTCCTAGGGGACTCACGCGGGTCGGAAAGAGACCGCTCTCCCCTATGATCCTGGGGGCGGGGAAAAGGGGTCGCCCAGGAAGCACACACCTGAGATTGATCCTCTCGCGCGAGGGGAGAGCAGGAGCGCACAGTTCCTCCCGGTGGGGCGGAGTCTCTGCCTCCCCCCGAACCAGACCCTCGGCCCTGATCCTCGCGGCCAGGCGCGCGTGGCTGTCAATCCCCGGCAGCCCGAGCCAGTGTAACCCGACGCGCCCCGCGCCGCCGCACCCCCGCCTCTCCCGCGACTTCCTCCTCCCGCTCCTGCTCCTCCTCCCTCCCCAGGGGTTGGCCTGGGCGGCGCGACCGCTGCATCCAGCCCAGATTCCTCGGGCCCAGGCTTCTCCGGCCCAGCGGGGAGACACGGAAGTGGAGGCGGGAGCCGGGGCCGGGGTAGGGGGTGAAGCGTCGCGAACCAGCGGGTGGCGAGCGATCGAGGTCTCCGTCGCCCAATGAACGTGACCGGACGAGGACACGCGGCCGCGGGTCCCGCCGGGTGGGGCGGCGGCGCGCCATTGCGCGGGCCCTCGCCCCTGGCTGCGGTTCCTGCCCTGCGCCCCGCCTTGTCGGCCGCCTGGCAGACAAGAAAGCCTGGGCTCGTCTAGGCCTGGGGAATATGGGGGAGGTTCCGATTGCCTCTGCCTTCCCCACGCGGGCCGCCCTCGCCACCTGTCCCGGAGAGAGGAGACTCTTGACCGTCTGCATGCTGGCAGGCTGGCTTACCTGATTTCTCGCCGCCCGCCCCCGAATCTGGCTTCTCTTCCTCAGCAGAAAGGCTTCCCTGGGCCTAGAAACGCTTCTAGGAAACGGGTGGACCCCTGGGACCAGGCCGTCAGAGCCCAAAGCCCTCGCTCGGGCTCTCCCCGCGCGCTCCTGTAGGCGCGCTCGGCCTCCTGACCTGCCCGCTGAATGTCAGCGCGGGAACCCGCAGGGAAGGCCAAGCCCAAGCACCAGAAGGTGGGATGCCGAGCATTGGCTCCTCAGGTCCAGCCTCATACAGGTGGGGGGAGGCGGAGAGCCCCGCTGCAGAGCAGCAGGCTTCCCAGATGCACCCCCTAAAACCGACCCTGCCCACTGAGCATGCCCAGCTCACTTGGAACTGCAAGTGGCTAGGCAAGCCCAAATGGACCCAGGGAGGACGCAGATGGGGTTCAAATGGACCCCATTTCTTTAAGACCTTTCCTCCCACAACCTCTGGGAGTTTTGCAAGTAAGGTTTCTACCTTGGTGTTGAAAAATACCCAGGGGAGGGTTGGAAAGGCCTTCCAAAGGAAGGCAGCCAAATTACTTTGAACCCAAATCGCAATGGTGGGTTTTTTTCAGCCAATTACTTATTAAGTCAATTTCCTTAAATGCCCGTAAAATTGTAACTGACATAAAGGAATGTGTAGATTCATTGGGTCCCAAACTCAGTAACTTCAGGAAACCAGTCTATCCAGGTTCCCAACTTTGGGTACATATTAGAATGGAAAGGCGGGTATAAAACGATCGATCCCAGGTTCACACCAAGTGAATCACTCTGTAGATTCAACCCGGAGAGTCTTACATTTTAAAACTGGCTTTCAAAGGATAGCCAAGGGAGCCAGCAGCCAGCAGCATCACCTAAGAACGTAGAAATACAAATTCTCGGCTTCACTCCCAACTGTGTGATTCCTAAAATCTGGGGCTGATGCCTTTCTGATTTAACAAGCCCTTCCAGTGATTCTCTTACACACTAAAGCTTGTGAACAACTGTTCACAAGAAAAGTTCCCCCAGGTGATTCTAATGAGAACCCCTGTAATAAACCAATGTTTTCAGATTTTTTTCAAATCCCAAACATTTATCTAAAAGAGCAATATTTTACATAGAAAATGAATAATCTTCTTGAATTGAGGTGCTAGTCCTGTATTTCCTTCCCACTAATTCTCCCAGAACAGATCAGTTCTTGGAAAATGGACCACCTATTTACTTTTGTACTCTGGTGCTAGCACAGTGCCTATAACATAATAGAAGTTTGATAAGTGTTTATTGATTTGAAGTGAAAATTTAAGTAAATGATTTGTTCCACACCCTATTTGTTCCAGACCCTGCTTATTTTCCCTGCAAGTCCTGGTCACCTTGGTAGCTAACAAGCCAGTAGGAATTCAGTTCTTAATAACCTGTGACTATCCATAAGGGTCTAAACCCAAGCCAGCACCTAATGGAATAGAACATGGGAGAAAGTAAAGAATTTTGAGGAGTTGAGAAAAGTCAGAAGTATCAGACATGATTTCATTTGCCAAAACTGGGGCCCAACTTAACGAAAGGAAAGCAGAAAGACACTAGACATCTGGTGGAATTTAGGAAAGGCACTGAAGGAAAAGGTACGTATGGGAGGGCTTAGGGGAAGAGAGATAAGAAACAACCATGATGAGCCTACAGTTTACTCTGGATCTTCTTTTTCTAAGCAACCTACCTCTGTTTCCACTTCCCCAACCTCTACACATACATCTCATCTTAACTACAGCCTGGAAAAATAATTTAAAAATAGAAAATTTTTATAAAAGTTAATTCCAATTACTGCATAAAACATGATAATTTATAATTATTCAACGTAACTTTGGCATCCACTTGTTCAAGACAAAAGTGGTAAAAATAATGTTAATTTTTAAATATAAACACTAGATAATTTCAAAATGCTGGGGTTTACAATACTCTTCTTTAAGACCCACAGAAACTTACAAAACTAAAAATGATTCCCTATTTATTCCATCAATATTTTCTGGAAGGAATACAATATTAAAATAAAGTATTCCTGGGGGCCCCTGGGTGGCTCAGTGGGTTAAAGCCTCTGCCTTCGGCTCAGGTCATGATCCCAGGGTCCTGGGATGGAGCCCAGCACCGGGTTCTCTGCTCAACAAGGAGCCTGCTTCCTCCTCCTATTTCTCTCTCTCTCTCTCTCTCTCTCTGCCTGCCTCTCTGCCTACTTGTGATCTCTATCTGTCAAATAAATAAATAAAATCTTTAAAAAAAAAAAGTATTCCTTTTAGCTTTACACGTAATGCTTTAAAACTTAGAATACTAGTTATGAGTACCTAAAGTAGCTCCCTGCCTATTTCTGCCCCCTTTGTCTTGCTTCCTGTGACAAGAATTCCACTGAAAGTTTGGTTGCTACTTAGGTTGTCTAATAGGAGTGTAACTTCCCATATGCTTAAGCAATTTCTTTCTTTCTTTTTTTTTTTTTAAAGCCATTTCTTCTTACTATTAAGATAGTTTGGGGGGAAGAGGGGAATAATCATTAATTTAGGAATTACTCTTCAGATTAAATATTACATTAGATCCACAAACAATATATATGTAAAAAAAAAAATCTTCTCTGCACACAGACACTTGCTACAGCTTCTTTTTGCTCATGGAATTAAAACAAAAACAAACAAACAGATTGAGCACTAAAAAGGGAAAAAACTTAGTGAGGGTGTAGGAGGGGAAGCACTTACCAGAAGCAATTTTAAAACATGAAGTAATTATTTTAGCAGAAAGCAATCTACTAAAGACCTGTATCTCAGGAAAGTTAGACTCTTAAGTGTTTCTTCTTGTCCTCATAAGCGTGACTCAGCATTTGGAATGGAATTATGTTTACCGTCTTTCAGATTGAGGGTATCAAATAACTTTGGTGCCACCTAATTCTTTTTCTTGTGTGCCTGAGAAAACTTCAGGACTGCCCTGGGTTTTCAATCTCAGATGGCTACCTAAATCTGAAAAGCTTTCCCTTCTTCAGTCATTTCTGTCTTACCAAAGCCTGAGTTTGCTCACCATTCATTTATCTTGCATTTGTAGCATGATCAGATGAATTTAGATTATTTCCTGTGCACTAGAAAAACAAAATGAGCAAGTCCTTCCTTTCCCAAGCCTGGAGAGTAGCCAACCTGCTGCTAGGACATCTTAAACACTATTGCTGGGGGTGAACTTTCCCCAACCTGGGGAGAACCTTGCATTGGTGATACTAACAAGCACCTTTTATTACCATCTACCATATGCCAAAGGTCAACTGTTTTAGTCCCTGCCCATTTCTAGAGAAATAATTTTTCCCCAAGTGTTCATTGGTCACCAATGTTCATAATAATACTTATGGAATATAAGGATTGAAAGGGGCCATAAATGTTATTAACTCCCACACTTTTGTTTTACAAACAATGAAACCAAGGCCCCAAGGTATTAAGTAATTTACCTAAACTTACAGGATTAGCTAAACATACAACCAAGATGAAAATGAGCAACTACTTGGTATACAGAACAGTGTATGGGCTTCAAGTGCATCCTCTTCCAAGTTCTTTAACCTATGTTCTCTAGTCTCTGAGAACCTGTTTCCTTATCAGTGAGGGCATCAATAGTGAATGGTCACACAGTGTTTACTCTGTGACAGGGCCTGCGCTTAACAAGGTCCACATAATCTTTAATCCTCAGAATAACTCTGAGTTTTTGGCTTCCTGATTTCATTTTGTTTTACTTTTACAAAAAATGGGGAAACTGACACACAAAATTTTTAAGTAACATGCCCAAGATAACACAGCTAGCAAATGGCCACACTGGTATTGAATGGGATAGCAGCTGTAAAAGTCCTGACATATAGGTTGTCCACAGAAGTATCTCCAATTTCATTTTCCTTCCCTAAGGAAAGGCATTCTTTCGCTTGGTCCAAAATTGGGCCAAGACATCTTTATTCTGAGCTCTGATTGCTATGTATGCTCACATATTTCTTCAGTTATATTATTTTAGTGCAGGTCTTCCTCCGCTTATGATGGGGTAATGTCACAATAAACTCAGCATAGGTGGAAAAATATCCTAAGTTGAAAATATATTTAATATACCCAACCTACAAAACATAGCTTAGCTTAATCAACCTTAAAGGTGCTCAGAACACATACATTAGCCTACAGTTGGGCAGAATCATCCAACACAAAGCTTATTTTATAATAAAATATTGAAAATCTCATGTAATGTATGGAAAACTGTACTGAAAATGAAAGACAGAATGGTAAAATGGGTCCAGAATGGTGGTTAAGTACATCGGTTGTTCACCCTGGAGATTGCCGGGTTGAATGGGAGCTGCAGCTCACTTCCACTGCCCAGCATCAGAAAGGAGGACTGTACGACATACCACTAGTCCAAGAAAAAGTCCGAATTCAAAATTCAAAGTTTGGTTTCTAATGAATGTTTACCACTTTTGCACGATGGTAAAGTTAAAAAATCATTAAGTCAAGCCATCCTAAATTGGGGATTATCTGACCTTTACATAATTTAGGAAGTACTATTTGTACCTATAATCCTATTTGTTGTTAAAATAGTTACAAACATTAAGAAGATAACCAGACATTAAACAAAGACTACAAGCTTACCACTTACAAAGGAAAAAAAAAAAAAAAAAAAAAAACTGACACAGAGTTTCTAAAAGATTAACAATGCTGTGCACAAAAATCTTAAAACAAATCCTCAAATAGGACCAGACCAGTGAGGTTGGGGCTTTGCAATTAGAGCAGCTCATTTAGTAGATCTCTGCCTCTCTGCCTACTTGTTACTTGAATTTTTTAAAATCATAATTAGAGACATCTAAAAATAGCCGACAGAAAATCTTCCCATGTCAGTGATTCTCAGAGTTAGGATCAAGAATGAGGTGAATATATGATCCTTGAAAAGATGAAATAAAAATACTAAGTATACTTTTAAATGGGTACTTTAAGTTTTATTTCTGCTTTATAAGAATCTGGGAAAGTATTTTTAAAATAAATTTTTAAAGCATCAATATAAAGTGGCACCATGAAACTTACTTAGATTTAAAGGCCTTGAGGGTAAAGGAAATGTGAACTCCTTCCTTA